TGTTTTGAAAGTTTTCAAAATTGGACGAGCCTTTAGTCATTTATTTCCTATACTTATAATTGCTTAACAAATTCCCAAATAATTTTAAGTTCAATTTAAAGCTACTTTACTTTGCTTTAAATTATTTTCATCTGATGATGACTTTTTTTAGAGATATTGAAGTTTGTTCTGAAATGTGAACGTCCGGGTGAGTGTAGTCTTGGGAAAGACTGTTGTTGGTGGTAACTGACGTTTCGCAACATCTTCAGAGTCCAGTGAGAAAACGAAAGAGAATCGATGGTATTTATACCTAGGTATAAAAACCATCGACTGTCTTAAATATCATTGACTGTCTTTCGTTCCAACACTAAGGAAACGTCATAAAATTTGGAACAGGAAAAATTGAACCCCTAATCCAGAAACAATTTATTGCTTCAATGAGTGCAAAGTTAATGTCAATGATAATGACATTACTAACTGACACTAAGATATTTGATTTAGTTCCAAAGGCACGCATTATAGAATAGATTCGGATTAGATATGTAGAACGTGCAATTAAACTACGAAGTAAAGAAGTTCTTTAAAATCGAATGAAAGGCATTGCAGTTTTACAGTACCCTTAAACAACCCCCTTTAGGCTGAACCGTAAGTCAGGGCATGGCTAACTCACAGATCAAACCCTGAAACAACCTCTGGGCTGATCTAAGTCAGGGAATGGCTAACTCACAGATTGAACCCTGAAACAACCACTGGTCTGAGCCGTAAGTCAGGGCATGGTTAACTCACAGATCGAACCTTGAAACAAACTCTGGGCTGATCTAAGTTAGAGCATGGCTAACTCACAGATCGAAACCTGAAACAATCCAGTCAGCACACCGAAAAAAAAAAGAGAAAAGAAATGAAATGAGTTGAATCGAAGGCTAAAAACTAACAAAACGTCCTCTGGCAAATTTATTTCTGTCAACATAGATAATAAACTCAACGATACGTAAACCACTTGAGATGTGGAGAACCACTTCTCCATCGGCTTCTTGAGTTCAAAATAGGCTTTGCTTTCGCATCATGTTCTAGAACGAGTTTACAGCGGCCACGACAATCACACGCGAGCATATATTTTACATCGATTAACCTGATAAAATCTAAAAGAAATTGTGTTATATCAAGAGAAAATGAACTTTACATTTAAGTTTATCCTCTCTATCTTATTTTTAAAAATTCTACCCTAACTAGTCAAACTGGTTAGAGCTATATAAACTGCAAATGCTTTCAGTTTGATCTAGTTGAGTTGCGCCACTGCTGCGTAGCACATTTGTAATGGCATATCTTTTTAGAAATTTTTCTAATATTCCTAAGATCAAAGTCTATTCCTGTCAAAGTAGCGGTATATTAATATGTCTTTCAAAGGGTAAGGGTGTTTGATACATCAAAATGACCGGAAGTTCAAACTCAGTTATGTAAGCAATTCAAGTTAACGCGGCTCAATGCTCAAATAACCGTTAATAACACCAATGACTTCAAGTAGTCTTCGATCAAATAGTTGGAAAATTTTGAATTGATATATAGCATATTTGGAATAATGTATTGAAGAAATAGAAAACTCGCGCGCGTGCTGTGTGCTGTCATAAAGCACGCGGGGGTTGGCAGAACACGAGAGAAGTGTTAGGAGAAGCACGACGCGTAGCGGAGTGCTTCTCGACACTTCTCGAGTGTTCTGCCAACCCCCAAGTGCTTTATGACTGCACACAGCACAGCAAGCAAGTTTTTAATTTCTTTTATAAAATACAAATTACAATAATAGATAGGAATGACGCAACGAAAAGTGCTCGCGCGTGCAATGTGCTCTCATAAAGCACGCGCTCCAAACCAATCAGAACGCGACATTCATAACAGTTATTTTATAATTTTCTATAATTGTTTGTAATAATTCGATTCTAAGGCCCCGCCATCACCATGCCGGATAAATTTGAATCCGAATTTTCAAACTGAAACCTAAAAAAAAGTTTTCCGTCCACACTAATATGGCTAGCCGGCGTTTTCAAATTGTTCCACTCTGGAGACCGTATTCGAAAAAATTCGTTTTCGGTGAATCGCCCGGACTAGTGTGGACGGTAGGCCTAACCGAATAAATAAAAATTCGGATTCAGATTTATCCGGCATAGCTAGTGTGGACGGGGCCTAAGACATCGAAGTTCATTCCTGACAAACTACGCAGAGCGGTATATTGATATGTCTTTCAAAAGGCACGATATTTGATACACATCTAAAACTTTTATAAGTAGGTCAAGTACACCAATGAATATTGAAATGGCAGACGGACCAAGTACTTCAAGTAGTCTTCGACCACCGAGTTGCAAGGTTTTGAATTAATGAAAGAAAAGTTTATTATGTCGTGAAGTATCTTTGTGGTAAGGAGGAGGAATAAATGAAATGTAAAAAAATAAAATTGGAGATAAAATTACTGAAACAAGGAAATAAAAAGATGGAGAAAAAAGAAAAGGACAGGACATGACATGACAGGACAGGACAGGACAGGACAGGACAGGACAGGACAGGACAGTAA